CATTTAGGACTGATTTTGCTAGAATGACCCGCCCAGCTAAAGAGAGTGTCTTTGCTTTCCATCCTTCCAACCTGGCCAAGATTCTCTCCAGGAGACCCGAGTATGTGTTGCAAGTTACTCTCCCATGTATAGATGGCACACCTAGATATCGTCCTAGATCTTTTGTTTCCTCGATACCCAGCTTAGCTGCTATTTCCTGAGCTAAGTTGGGGTGGACATTCTTTGAGAAGAAGACCTGAGATTTGTTCAAACTTATCTTTTGCCCCGATTCTCGACAAAAAGAAACTAGGCACTCTTGGATGACCGCCACTTGATCGCAGGACGCCTCGGTGAAAAGGACCATATCATCTGCAAAACAGATGTGAGATAACACGGGCCCCGCAAGAGCCAACTTGATACCATTCCACGCCCTATCATTTACCCTTGAAACAATAAGTTGACTAAGCCTCTCCATACACAAGACAAAGATAGCCGGGGACATTGCATCGCCCTGGCGTACACCCCTCGAGGGTCGAAAATGCTCCAGACGTTCTCCGTTCCACACGATCGCTAACCTGGAAGAGGAGATACAAGTCAAAATAATGTTAGTCCAAATGTCATTAAAGCCTGCCCAAATCAGTGTTTCTCTAATAAAAGTCCACGAAAGTCTGTCGTAAGCCTTTTCGAGATCCAGCTTGATGGCCATGTAACCCTTCTTCCCTTTGCATTCCCGCATGGTGTGCATAACTTCTTGGTACACAAGTACGTTGTCCGAGATCTGCCGCCCTGGGACAAAGGAACTTTGATAGGGCCCGATAACTTGAGGGAGAACGCGTTTGAGTCTATTTGTGATCAGCTTTGTTAAGATCTTGTACCTCACGTTACACAAACTGATGGGCCTGAACTGTTTGATAGTGTCAGGGACCTGAACTTTGGGAATAAGCACGACCAAAGTATCATTAATGCCCTCCGGGAGCCGGCCGGTTCGTATAGCATCTCGAACCAGGTTAAAAATGCTGTCCCCAGTGGCTTCCCACGTGTGCTGATAGAATCCTGCCGGTAGGCCGTCCGGGCCCGGAGCTTTAAACGGCTTCATATCAAAAACAGCCTCCTTGACTTCATCCTTCGCCACCTCCCTATTAAACACTCTCCAATCCAGCTGGCTTAAGACTGGGAAAGAAGCACCCAAGGTGCGCTCAAGAGCCCCCTCCGTGGAGTCAGTGAACAGCTTGATATAGAAATCCCTTACATGATTTTTTAGATTCTCCCCCTGTGGGAGCCACGTCCCGGTATCGTCTTGCAGACCCAAAATCTTGCTCCGTGCTTTCCGAACAGTAGCTGCAGCGTGATAGAACTTTGTATTTCTGTCCCCCGATCTTATCCAATCTTCTCTAGACTTTTGATACCAAATCAATTCCTCTTGATACAGGGCGTCCTCCAAACTAGCCTGCAACTTTCTTTCCAATCTTCGCAAGCCAGAATGGGGTCGCTGGGCCAAGATCTTCTAAATGCCCCCAATTCTAGCCAAGAGACTTCGTTTGCGTTTGTGTACATTGCCAAACACCTCCGTGTTCCAACTTTGAAGCCCATCAGCTACCAGCCGTAGGTTATCCGTCAAACACTTATCGGTCTTCCACAACTTCTTGACTACCTCGGGCAAATCCTGGTGTGTAGTCCAAGCAGCCTGAAAGTTGAAAAATTTGACAATATTAGGCCGAATTCCCCCAAAAAGCCTTACCAGGAGCGGAGCATGATCCGAAGCCACCCGGGGCAAGTGCTCCACCGTAGCCTCTGGAAAGCGGGCACGCCAACCGAGGTTGCACATAGCCCTGTCCAAACGGGCTCCCTTCACATCATCAGAAGCACCATCCTTGACCCAAGTCAGCTTCGGCCCCGTAAACCCCATGTCTATGAGACCTTCGTCCTGGATCCACTTTACAAAATCTGAACTTCGTTGCGTTGAATAGGAGCTATAGTTGCGTGTTTCCTCCCTCGAGACCACTGAATTAAAGTCCCCAGCCACCATCCAAGGTCCGTTCAGGGCCCTTCGCGACTGGGAAAGGTCATTCCATAGCCGGCGTCTCAAGTGCGGAGCCGGGCTGCCATACACTGCCGCCAGGACCCAAGGTGACTGGTCGTTCTGCTGCACCTGTAGAAGGATAAATTGAGGATGGGTGAACAAAATGTGCATGTGTATTGGGTCCTTCCAAAGAACCCAAATACCCCCACTGAAGCCTACAGCTTCTACGCGGATCCAATCCGAAAACCCGAGCTTAGCGCATATTTTATTAGCTTGGTCCCCCGACACTTTGGGCTCGAAAAGTCCCAGGATGCTTGGCTTATAGACCTGTAGCAGATTTTTTAGGGCACGGTGGACCACCCGTCCACACGCCCCTTGGCAATTCCAAAACAAAAAATCCATAAAATAAATAAATAAAAGAAAAGAGAGAAGAGAAAACAAAAAGAGCTCCAAAAGGAAGCTAACAAACCAAACCGAAAAACAAATACAAAGGCAGAGTAAACATTACTCAAACGCCCAAAGGGGCCTCATAAACCTCCTGATCCGCTGGATTGCCTTCAACTTCCATGACTGCATCCCCTTCATTGTCGAAACAGTCCGGCGGGTCAGCGTGGTGTTCTTCAGTAGGTTGCCAAACGGGCGGGGGTAAGTCACCGGCCTCGTTCCCCACCACCACACGTGATGCATGAATAACAATACCGCCTTGCTCACCTCTGACGACTGTATGCTCGTCTTCTTCCGCCGCTCGTCTCGATCCAACCCCCCGTCTTACGCGTAGCCCCCTTGAAATCTCTTCTTCTCCCCTCCCCCGAACAACCTCTGGCACAAACGGTTCATTCTGAACCTGCTTCTCAGCTATAACTACATTTGGACGTCTTCTGCCATTCTTCGCCCCCTGCTCAGCGTGTAAGTTAGACTGCAGTGTTTTATCAGCATCCCAATTCTCCAAAAACTGATCGACATTTGCATCCCCATTCATGTCCTCCTCCCCATGCATCACCCCATCCTCCTCCAAATCAACAAGAGCCGAAAATCTGGTCACTGGAGGTTTTTTAATCTGCCCAGAATTTCCAGATTGCGCAACCTGCTTCTTCCCAACCGCTCCACCATTGTTTCTCTCATACTGCCGACCCCCAGTTCTGCCCTTGCGCCCCGGAGCGATCATCCATTTCCCAAAAGGTTCAGCGCCAACAATGACTCCATGCACGACCCCTGATCCAGCGTTGCCTTCTTTCTTGCTTCCTGTTTCTTCACTTTCCGACGCAGGTTTGTTCGTTTTGGGGCATGTCTCCGTCGAGTGACCGTATATTCCGCATGAGAAACACACTAAGTGGATGCCTTCGTACGCCACCGACCTCACTCGCTGCTTATAGGTGAATTTTGAGATGAGTGGCTTCCGTATATCAACCTCCACACATATGCGTGCGAACATACCCCTCGACACCTGGCTTGTAGCTTGATCCACGCGGATCGTCTTCCCCACCTTGTTCCCGAGCTTCCTAAGGAAAATCAAGTTATAGTACTCAGCTGGTAAGCACGGGATTCTTACCCACACTAGGATCTTCTCTGTGACATCGGCGTAGGGGTCGAAATCCGGTATCCATGGTTTAACAAGCAAGTAATGGTCCATGATCATCCATGGACCCTCAAACATCGCGTGTTCTAGATCCTCCACCGCGCCGAAACGGACGATGAAATAGCCATTATCAATCGCGATGAGCTCCATTTTCCCCTTCGGCTTCCACATCGAGGTGAGACGTCTTAGCAGATACGCGTAGCCTACCGATCTTCCCATCACCTTAACGATGATGGCCTTCCTCCACGGCGCCCTAATCTGTTCTACTTCCGCCTTAGTCAGCCGAATGGTAGGACAGAGTGGATCATCGGCCTCCCCATCGGATAGATCCTCGTCTTCCTCCTCCTCAGACACGTCTGCATGTCCGAGAGATGTCTCCATATGATCGGCGACTGTCTGAGCATACGTCCTCCTAGACACAGCCGGTACCTGCGACACAAAAGTATTCGTTAAATCTCTTGATGACATACCCTCGCGTACAGCCTGCATGGCCGTCGGTTCAGTCGGAGCCCCGTCGCCGTCTAACGGAGTTTCTGGAACAAAGGCCACGTCCGTCGAAAAATCAGTCGTGAGATCCATCAGCGCGTTCATTTCAGAGCCGGTTGCCTTCTTCGCCTTCTTCGTACTCCGTTCAAGCAAATCTCGATCTTCTTCCGACCGTTGGCTGGAGAGCTTTTCCCCATCCATCGCGTTAATAGTTTATTAATTAATTTCATCACACTAATTTTTATTTTAAATTCATACAAAAAATTTATTTTACCACGTTAGCTGTTTTAACGTTTTAAAATGAATATTATTAATCCAATATTATCATGATAACATTAAGGGTCCATTTTTAAAAAAACGGAAGAATGACTTTCGGAAGTCATTTTTTAATGTGTTTGTATATTCAAGAAAAATAAAGTCAAAGAAAAATATTTATTCTGATTAACGAAAAAATGCCTAATTTGTCCAAAAATGGAGGTTAGAAAAAAATATTTTTTTATTTCGTTGAAAGTTAAGAAATTATATTTTTTGTTTGGTTTATTTTTTTATACTAAAAAATTTAAATTTTATTTATAACTTTTTTTTTTGTTGAAATTAAATGCAAACTAAAAGTATAATAATCCAAAAGTAATATGCATCATGATCTATAACAAAATTGATCGTATTATCACAATATTAGATAATAGTTATTGGTTTTCTCTTTAAATAAAAAAAAATCATACTAAATTTCTTTTTTAATAAAAAAAATAGTAATTTGATAATTTAGGCGGTTAATAAAATACTCCATAAAAATGTCTAATAAGGGTAAGGGATGAGTTTTTTTAAAATAATAAATAAATAAATAAATAAAAATTGTAACAATATTATCAAATAAAAAAATCTAAATAAAAATTCAAATTTCAAAAAATAATTTGTATAACCTATAAACAATTAATAAGATATTCAAAGTATTCAACGTTAATGATGTGACGTCTAAATGTTCAATAATAATAATAATAACCTTACCGTACCTCCCAACCTAACTTCATTCGGATCTAAGATGGACCTCTTTATTTTTGTGTGACGAAAAAAATCACAAACTACTAAATAGCTAACTGGTTCAAATCAAGAAGACTAATAGATTATTTTTGTTGAAAAACATAAATATAAATGCAAGAAAATGACAGGTCATCTACTGCGATAGAAACAGTGTCGGGTTGAGTTCGTATCCGGTCCCCACTGTAACGCCCACCCGTTTAAGGACACTCCTATCTTCCTACGCTTCTCCTTCTTCATCTCTCTCTCTCTTTCTTTCTGCACAGATAACGGCCCCCAAAGCAAACGTTGCTTTATACGTACTTTATATATATATATATATATATATATATATATATATATATGTTACCTTCTCCCCCTCCCTCTAACTAATACGCAAAAAGAGCACAGCCTTTTCAGAGCGCATAGAGAAACGTTGCGCTTACCTGACAATCTGCCATTCAAACTCCGTATGAGAATCAACTCTGCTCTGCTGAGAAGTGAGAACAGTTTAGAAGCTTCACTCTCGTTTTCTGACTCTGCTTTCTTTCTTGTTCTTTTCCAGTTCTTTTGCTAGTGGTTCACTGCTTCTTGAGCCATTGCTGCATTTCTTAAGTTCTTGAGTGTTTGATAGCTTCGAGAAGTGAAAGAACTCTGTTTGTATTTAACTGGGTTGTTTTCAAGTTTTCAGTTTGAGATAAGATAATTCTCCGGGGTGAGCTGAATTCAGGCCTTTGAAATATTTGTATTGTGAACTGGGGACTGGGGACTGGGGACTGGTTTTTGGTTCATTACAAATAGGAATGGAGTCAATGGAATTGGGTCAAACTAGATCCGTGAATTGCGGAGCGAAACCCGGAGATATCCGAACTGAGCTTCCACAGTTTGGCAACGAGGGCTTCCATAGTTTAATGCCAGTAGTATCTGAGGAAGCTGGAAGTTCGTTCACTGCTCTACTCGGGCTCCCAGCGAAGCAGGCGGTGGAGCTCTTGGTTCACTCGTCGGAAGCAGAAGATTCGCCGGCGACGAAGCTTCCTGAAATTGAACCTCAGAGGAATTATCACCACCAGGGTTTTCTTCCGCCGCCAATTTTCCCTTCGGACACGGCTTTGGTTGACCGAGCCTCCAAATTCTCCGTCTTCGCCGGGAACTCACCGGAGACGGAATCAATTCCGTCGAATTCGTGCTCGAAGCCGCCGCATTTCGTGAAGTCGGAGCCCGCAGATTCGGACTCAAACCCGAATTCATCCCCGGCCGTTTCCAATCCAACTGTCAATCAGAAATCCGCCAAACGAAAGGAGAGAGAGAAAAAGGTAATTTCAAGTTTTCAACTTCCCAGTTCCCACATTGCAGAAAATGGAATTCTTAATCGCGAATTAAATTTTCTGTTTTAAAAAAACTAGATTAAAGAACCCAGCAAGAAGAGCAAGAAAGCAGCTAACAATACCTCGGAGGGGGATGGTGAGAAGCTTCCATATGTTCATGTCCGAGCTCGCCGAGGCCAAGCCACCGATAGCCATAGCTTAGCTGAAAGAGTAATAATTCTATAAATATCCTAATTAAGCTCTAATTGCGGTGTAATTGCGGGGTTAAAGAACTCTATTTTATTATATAGGCAAGGAGAGAAAAGATTAATGCTAGAATGAAGCTGTTACAGGAGCTGGTCCCAGGATGTAACAAGGTTAGCTGTCATTTCATCATTAGTACGGCTAGTGTTGATGATGATATCCTTTCAATTATTTACTTGACTGGAAAATCTGCTTTAATTATGCTTTAAGATTATTCTAAGGATGGTTGGGTCATTGTCTCCTACTGTAACCAGAAAAGAAAGAAAAACTACTGGCTTTTGCACCAATAAAAGTGGAGAGCTAAGGGGGATGAAATGTCTCTTTCAAAGTTCTAACTGTTGTTTCAACTTTTTGCTTTCCATGGGGGTCTCCGGTTCGTGAGAAGTCTTTTCGGAGGTCACCATTGTCTATTCTTACAAAGATAGTATCCCGGTTCATCTTTGCTTGATATTGAGTAATTCAGAAGATACCGAGTTCGGCATTTGTTAACTAATTTTGGGAAACAAGATTAGTTAGAAGTTATTCTAGAAGGCTTTTTTCCACTATATCCAAGACCTTGGTTACTGCCCTTAGGGTTAGGTTATAGGGTAGGTCTTATGCTTAAATTTGCCGTCTAAAACAATAGAAGTAGCTGTTACTCTTGCAATTATTAAGTCCTTGTCTAGGTGGGTATTGCCAGCTACTGTGCCTCGAGACAAGAGAGAGGACAAGGACTAAGGAATTTGCTGCATTAAAAGTTAAAGACTCTCTGCATGCCCTTTTTTTGGGGGGTGGCGGGTGGGGGGGGGGGGGGCGGTATAATAATTCATTTCAAGCTCAAGCTTCTGCCGGATCCTATTTGAAGGAGCTCTCCTAGTGTTGCTTGTTCCATTCATAACGTTTGAACCTAAGACCTTACTTAAGGGGAACCAAACTCCTTCAACTCGGACTAAAGTTTGTTAGTGACTAGCATGTAGTTTGATTTCTCTGGATCATAATTCTACCCTCTCTATGATACTGAACTTATTTTTCTTGAAGGATTATATTCATTGTACTTCTAATCTATCCATAAGAAATTCTTTGGGAGTGAATGCATTCTATGAGTTAGAATAGGATGATCGGTTAAGCTTTTACAGACTGTATCCCTAAAGAAACCATTCTAATGAATTATGTGAATTATGGCTTGATCATTAACCCATACCTAGGAGTACATTGTTTCTTCATTTGGATGTTTAGTTTCCTGTCAAACTCTTTGGGTATAAATGAACTTCTTTGTATTTCTTTTTATGATAGAATTAGAAAAGTGACACTGCTCAATATTACAGACTTCAATTATCGTGTGCTATCAATACCACTGCTAGATGCTCATAACAATATATTTATAAGTCTCTGGAGTTGATGCCAGAGGGTGCATGACTCAAAGTCCATTGATATTTAATGCACTCCACTGTATTAGTTCTGGAATTCTTTAAAAATGTGAAAATAAAATAAATTCCAGAGTAGTATTGTGTATAAGAAAGATCAATTGGACTTGTACTGCTCATAAGGTGGAGTCCAAGTAATCAGAAGGCATACTAAATAGGTCTACATTGCAACCTTCTTTATTTTCTGGTAAGCAAACCATTAACTAAACTGTACTTGGAAAAATGGGGAATTTGGAAAACCTAATTTATTATTGTGGTTCTCCTTCCTCCCTAGTACCTATGCAATTATTGTAAGGTCTTGACTCCTTTCAGGCAGTTGAGATCTAAAGACGGTGCTATTCATGTAAAACATTATTTCCCACCAGGCCACCATATTTAGGTTCAAATATCACCAATGCAAGAACAAATTCGTTTCAGCTTTGTCTTTGCCTCTTTATACTAAAGTATTATGCTTTCTTAATTTTATTTTATTATTTAATTTCTTTGCAGATTTCAGGTACTGCAATGGTGTTGGATGAGATCATTAACCATGTCCAGTTCCTACAGCGCCAAGTCGAGGTCAGTCTTGAGAGAATGTTCTGATTTATCATAGCTGAAATATCATGGGTGTTTAAAATGCAATTACACCTTAGTTACAGAACAGGACGAAGGAAATGAAGCATTCAGGGCATGTTCCAGAATAAAGAGGCTTAATTGATTTATACTTTCTGATTTTTAAAAAAATATTTATTTGACAATAATTTTCAGTACCCATTACTCTTCTAAGAGATGGGTAAGTTGGTATATGAGTGCTCAGGCAATAGAAACCGGAGAACAGAGAGATGTCTAATGTTAATTCAAATGTACATCATTTTCTCTTTGGACTTCAAATTCCAATCACTCTGAGGCTATTGTCTAAATAGTAATAGGTCAATGGATAATCCTGGTTCATGAAATTTAAATTTCACAATAGCTTTGTAGTGTGCAACTGTTAATTTTTCTGATAAGTGTTTCTGTCGTTACAGTTCTTATCAATGAGACTTGCTGCTGTCAACCCAAGAATCGATTTTAATATTGATGCTCTCTTCGCTGCTGAAGTAAGTATGACAAAGCCCTTTATTCTTAATAGCTATTTGACTACACTACAGTGAATAGCATTTATTCACCTCTGACTTCTGATTGATGGTACCATAAATGCTAAAGTTAAGCACTTTGTGTTAATATTTCATTACGTGAGTTAATTTGGAAATGCTATTTTCTGGACATCTTCTTCCCCTTATAGCCACGACAAACAATTTTTGGTTTGTTGTCCTTGCTTAATAGTTCAAAACCTTGTTTTAAACCAATCATGAAGTTATAGCAGGGATCTCAATGGTGGACCACCCATGCCTGTGAACATTTACGCCTTGAATGTATGAGCATGATCTGTTAGAATGACATCTCTCTCTCTATATCATTATGTTGTTTCCCTTTGGGGGTTGTCTATGTCAGACTCTGAATTAGTGGGTCCTATATCTATTAAGCGACAACTCAGAAATGATTGTAATAGTACCGTTAACATTGAAAAGTATTCAAGTCCTGGAAACCATCTTATGCCATGGCTTTCTGAGGACCCCTTAGTGATGATAATAAGAAGGATGCTTCCCATCCTCCCATCATTAGGAGATATATAGTGAGTAGCGTTTACATTTGCAGAGTAGCCTGGGGCTACATAATAATTTTAGACCATTTACTATGACTATATATTATTGACCCAACTTCCTTTATTTTCAAAATTCAGACTGATTCCCCTGTGGAAAATAACTGCACTGGCATGATAATGCCCTCGATGTGGCCCGAGGGGCAAGCCATTGAAAACAGACCGCAACATCAACAGCTATGGCATGCCGATGGATTTCATCAACCTATGTGGACTAGGGAAGAGAATTGTAGCTTCATAGCACCTGAGAACTCACTATTAACTTATGACTCGACAAATTCAGGTGATTTTCCATCTTATATTTCACTCAAGTCTAGAAATTGAAATTCCCCCCACACTCAATTTCCTTTGGGTTGAATGGACATCAAGCTTTGGTCTGCACAGATACAATGCTTGCTGTCCAGAAGCATCTAGTATGTACAGTACACGAGCATATATATATATATATATATACATAGATTGAAGATTAATTGTATATGGTATATGGGTACAGGTCCTTTGCTTGCAAATCAGCTAAAGATGGAGATATGAAAGAAAGCGAAAGCAAATGTTTTTGCAGTGGTTAGGCATGATGTATATATGATTTATTATAGTAGTAGATAGCGGGGAAGTAGAGAGGATGGCATCAAGAGTTCCAACCCAACCGGGTATCCACATTCTCTAATTAACAGAGAACCAGAAACTCCCATTACTCTTATCTGAGTATGAGTATATAGAAGAAGAAGCTAAGTATGACATCTATTTTATGAATGAATACTAACGTAGAGGAAAGCGGAGGGAGTCACTTCGTGTGATGGATGCTTAGCTTGTTTGTATGATGAGATAAGATAAGGATTCATTCATGCTTGCAGCTTGTTTGTAAAGCAAGATGGACACTATTATTATGATTCACAGTGGGAGGGAGGAACCCAATTCTATCAATATGTTCGCATTTGGCAATTACTTAATTACGATTTCTTTGTTGGTACTTTGTAGTAATTTTCTAAGATTTTTACAGATCACTTTATTTTTTTTTTTCCTTTTTAAATTTATAACGTCGTTTGGAGACGAAGGAAGGGATAAGATTTCAATCAAGATCAATTCCCTAATCAGAAAGTAGCTTATAATTAATTTAACAAAGTTGAGTTGTGTCATTCTAATGGTAAGTTGGATACTATAATTGGGTAAAATTAGTGCAAAATATAAATGTTTGATATTAAATTGTTAAATTTAAAAAATTTGAATATAATCCTAAGAAATGGTAAATAATTACATTTTTTAACCAATAAGTCTTTATATTACTATTAACACATGTTGCGAGAAGTTGGCTTTTAAGTTATTATGGACTAAATGCATTGTTGTCCATGTGTTAGAGCATTTACACTAGTGAAGAATAGTGAGCTATTTCAGCAATAATTCTTTCAAGCTAAAAATAAGAGTAAATACCAGCAGAGGTCCTCTGACTTTGGTGGCACTGTCACTTTTAGTCCTCAATTTTTAAATCAACCACTTTTAGTCCTCTTACTTTTTGTTTCTAGCCATTTATGGTCCTTTTGTTAAACTTGGTCATCTAGTGTCGTTTTCTCAAGGATAATTTGATCCTTTCATAATTAATTTATTAATTATTATGTTTAATTTCCTCATCAGAATAGTCAAACAATGGTTTTCCCAATGAAAGCGGCGACGAATTGTGAATGCATATATGAATTCACGAGCTGGTTTTGTACACATTCATGGAGAAACCATTGTTTGACTATTCTGATGAGGAAATTAAATATAATAATTAATAAATTAATTATGAAATGACCGAATTACCTTTGAGAAAACGACATTAGATGGCCAAGTATATCAGAAGGACCATAGATGTCTAGAAATAAAAAGTAAGAGGACTAAAAGTGGTTGATTTAAAAATTGAGGACTAAAGGTGGCAGTGTCACCAAAGTCGGAAGACCTCTGCTGGTATTTACTCCTAAAAATAATATTGATGTGGGGGAGAATTAATTAGGGAAGAATGCATCTGTAAAATAGGAAATAATGTCAGAAAAAGAAGAAGAAAGAAAAAAAAAGAAACATCAAACGCGCACAGCAGCCCGCCCGCACGGGTGCGTCAGGCGCGCGCAAATTCTCTCTCCTAATCACTCTTACATTATCCCCATATTCTTCCCAACTAATGTGGATGCTCTTAGTAGCTGTGTGGTTTTAAGAAGTGGGTAAGACTTCCTATGCCTCTCGTTACACTCAATACAATAGGTAATTTATTATCGAAAAATACTACTTAAACTTTTAAATTCTATTTTAAATTGTATTTTGCTATTCAAAATTTTGATGGTAACAGTTTTTTTGGACCAACAAGATAAATATAACTTATCATTCATGATTACATTACGAAATAAAAATAAGAGAATAAAGATTGAAAATCCATATAGTAGAACTCTTATTAATTATTAAATCTGAAAATTCATGTAGTAAAACTCTCTTAATTGTTAAATTTGACTTTATTAAATTAGTCCAGTATAGAATCAGTTCATTATAATAGTAATTCTAAATCTTTTATTTATATATTTTTATTTCGATAATTAATTATTTATTTATTTTAATTTTAATTCTTATTTACTATCAAATAAGAATATATTTTTACTTAAACTCATTATTTGATCCTCTTTACAATTTCAATTTCAATGTTTGAATCAAAATATACTGATTCAAACATTAGAACCACAATAGTAATGAGAATCAAATACTTAATAATTACGGAGTATAATGCTAAGAAACGACAGCGTATTTTGAGTCACTCACACTCGAACACGAATCCGGAGGGAGGATTCATCACTCCACACTACAAAGACCATCTCCAAGTCCACACAAAAACTCTCTCCAAATTTCATCAAAGATGCCATCCGCGAAACCCTTCGCGAACGCCGCCGGTATGCTGAGAACCCGCCTGAGCTCCGGCCTCCGCACGCGAGGAGGCCATGGCCCCAACCCTTTCCTCACTCCCGGCCACCAGGAGCGCCCCAACGGCTACCTCTTCAACCGGACCCCGCTGCCCCCCGGACAGTCCCGCAAGTGGGAGGATTGGGAGCTCCCCTGCTACGTCACCAGCTTCCTCACCATCGTCATCCTCGGCGTCGGCCTTAACGCCAAGCCCGATCTCACAATCGAGACCTGGGCCCACGGTGAAGCTCTTAAACGCCTCGAACAAGAGTCCAGTGATGATTCCGATTGAAAGATTGGTGGATCCATCTGCATCTGCGATTTGTCAATTAGGGCTTTTAGAGGAAGGCCGCTGATGCTGATCCTGATTGTTGATATTCTCTGGTGTAGTTGTTGGAAAAATAAGTGTTTCTATTTAATTCTTGACTTGAATCGATAACACTACGATTTTGTTTCGGAATTACCTTAATCTATGCTCAACTTCAATATACATATATTTTCTCAGCCTGCTAATGACAACTTGAATTTCTGAATTTATATTAAATTGGTTCCTTTTTTTTTGTCAGGCAAAAATTGGGACTTTTTATCATTTGCATATTTATTTTACGAATTCTGGTTGAATTATTAGTGTAGATTTAAAATTCTTGGAGTAGGGGATATTGGTAATCATTGAGGACACTGAAATCTCATTCCTCTATTTGGTTTTCATTCCCCTTTGAATTCATTAGCCTTACTATTTCATCCTCTTTTATTCTCATGTGTCCACTGTTAGATGCTAAAATATACCACTGGAATTTGTGAATTTATTGTTGTGCCAAAAAGTTCAGAGCTGTTTACTGGTCATAAAACTTCATTTGTGATCAAGAACAACTTGAAAGCTTTCTAGTTTTGAAACAACTTACCAAATCATTCTTGAAGAAGTCAAGTATTCCACAAACCCACGAGAGAGATTGGGAATTTGTGACACCAGAGTTCATTTATATTGCATGGGGATATGTTTGATTAACATAATAACACTACTAACATGATCTGTAGAATGTACAAAACCATGATGCCAATAGACTCTGCTCTTTATTACTTCAGAGAGGCACTGAAGTATTACCAGAATCAGATATTTCAAGATTTGTACTCTCAATCTTGATTGAGAGGGACTGAAGCTCCCTGACAACATCGGCCATGGAGGGTCGTTTGTCAGGCATTACAGCAGTGCAGTGTAAAGCAATCTCCAGAACTTCCAGCATTTGTTGTTGGGATGAACCTGAAATCTTGGGGTCCAGCAATTGAACTGCCCCATTTGTGATGTTGATTTTCCTTCTTACCCACTTCACAACATCTAGCGAGCCCTCCCAAGGCTCTGTTTGCTCAGCATTCCGCCCTGTCACGAGCTCTAGCAATACAACACCAAAGCTATATGTGTCCATTTGTTCAGTCGCCTTCTTTGTGTAACCAAATTCTGTGTTAAAACAGTCGCCATTAATGAAATATCACCAGAACAGGTTTCTTATGCACCAGAAAATAAAAGGAAATGAAGCTACATGATCTTAAGCATAAGTATAATGCCATATAATGGTTCACAGCATACAATAGAATGCACTCATACCTGGTGGCAAGTAGGAAGAAGGTGAAGATCCTGAAGCGAGGGAGGATTGAAATGCTGTCTCTCCCAAGACACGATCAAGAGCAAAGTCTGTAATTTTTGGTTCAAAATCAGCGTCGAGCAGAATATTATGTGACTTGATATTTCTATGGAGTAAATGCGGAAGATAATCCCTGTGAAGGTATGCTAGTCCTTGAGCAACTCCGAGGGCAATCTGCAGCCTAACACTCCATGGTAAGTTGATGCCAGATTTCCCAATTAGATCACCAAGACTACCATTTGCTACATATTCATAGATCAAGAAGATTGAATCGCTTGAATGGCAAAACCCGAGAATTTTTGTGATGTTCTTATGCCTGACCTTTGCTAAAGTCTTGACCTCTGATTTCAGAGATTTTGAAGACTGCTTTCCAAAATTTACTAACTTCTTCACAGCAACTGGCTCACCACTTGGTAAATTTACAACGTAAATTCTCCCCAAAGTTTCACTGTTCCCTCTGGCCGCCTTTTCATCCATTGCCATGATCAGATCATTCTCTGTAACTCTCAGAGGATAGAAGAAAACTGACCTCCAGCTTCCCATTTGGGGATTTGGTTTCTGAGAACGGCGAATCATGTAAAATCCAACAGCCATGATAATCGCAATGGCTAAAGCTATCGAGATCAAGGTATACGCCAATCTTGATATCTTAGCATTCTTGTGAGTAGGCCTGTCATCTGAACAAGAGTTGGGAAGTCCCGAACCACACAGGCCAGGGTTTCCTTGCAAAGATGAAGCAGGAGGGCCAGAAATCAACGAGGATGGAACTCTGCCAGAAAGCCGGTTGAAGGAGACATTGAACAAAGCAAGTTTCAAATTCTGAAGCTCTTCTGGGATAGGGCCAGTGAGGTTATTAAGTGAAAGATCAAGGTAAGTTAACACCGGCAGTTGAGCAAGAGATTTTGGTATTTCACCAGCAAAACTGTTATGAGCTAGAGACAATGAGACTAATTTCTTGCAGTTACTCAGTTCAGGAATTTCACCTGAAAGGTAATTATGGGATAGATTTAAGATGCTCATAACTGGAGAATCACAGAAGTTTGAAGGAAGTTCACCATACAACCCATTCAGAGATGCAGAAAATTTATACAAGGTTGTAACCATTCCAAGACCATCAGGTATTTTACTAGTAAAGCTGTTATTATCAATCTCCACTTGCTCTAATTCAGCAGCCTTTGATATCGATTCGGGGATGACCCCAGAAAACCTGTTGTTTTCAGCTCTAATGATCTTAATCTTAGGCAATGACCATAGCCATGAAGGGAAATTCTCAGTAAACCTATTGTTCTGAACTTGAAACCTTTCAAGCTTGATGCATTCATTGATGGAGTCATTTGGTATTGAGCCATTCAAGAAATTTTCATGCAAAGCAAGGTTTTGAAGACCTTTGCCATTACAAACACCAACAGGGAATGGCCCAGAAAGCCTATTCTGTGAAACATCAAAAGAAACCAAATTTGGAAGAGACAGCCCAATCTCAGGGATCTTACCAGTGAGATTGTTCTGAGAAAGGTCTAAAATGGCCAAACTTTTCAAACCCTCAAAGAAGTTTGGTACTATTTCTCCATGAAAACCAGAGCTTCCCAAGATAAGCTTCTCAAGTTTACTGAGCTTGCCAATATCTCCGGGAATCTCACTCACCAATAAGGAATTCTGAGACAAATCAAGAGTCAAAAGCTGAGTGAAGTTACCAAAGACCTGTGGAATTTTACCTGAAAGCAAATTGCTACACAAGTTGAGAACTTGAAGCTCCTTCAATGACCCAATGCTTTCTGGGATGTTCCCATCAAGATGGTTCCTCCCAAAATCAAGAAACTTCAAAGACCCAAACTGAGAAATCTGGTCTGGGATTGTGCCCCAGATGAGATTGTTGCTGAGATTCAGATTCTCCAAAGACCCACACTGTGAGAGATGGAGAGGAATGGGCTGGTTGAAGAAGTTATCAGCCAGGTTAAGATGGGTGAGACTGGGGAGCTCACATATAGCAGCTGAGATTTCACCAGAAAGATTCAAGCTTTGAAGATTGAGAGAAGAGATTGATGATGATGATGAAGGTTGAGGTGTGCAAGTGACACCAGTCCAGTTACAGTGGTGCACAGCTGTGGTGTTGGACCATCCCATGAGAGAGTTCATGGGATCTTCAATGGAGTTCTTGAATGTAAGCAGAATATCTGCTTCTGGTGAAGCATAACTCAGAAGATACACACAGAATGAGAAGAAGATGAACAGTGACACTTTGCAGACAGTAGCCATTGGAGAAGGAAAAAAGGTAACTTTGTGCTTAGGAAAGCTTTTAACATCAACTTTTAATTGAAGTGAACCCAAGGAAAGTCTATTACTGTATACAAAATTATACAGTAAAAATAATTTTAAAAAATTGATTCAATCATAAACTTGATTTTTTTTTTTTCCAATTTATGCTGTCCGTAAACAAAAATAATAATTAGTTTCTTCAAGTAAATGATGATGTTTGACCATCAAATTATTTTTCTACTTTTCAATCTTTGAACCATGTAAAAATATCACAAAAACATTGTATACAAACCTTTAAAAAATGTGTATGTGTATTTGACAATTGCATTCATAGTTGTACATTTGTCAATTCACATTTCTACTTTCTCAACAGTTACTATCATTTATCTGTACATGTAATAAGACAAAGCTTAACTCTTGAAGTTTTGTGCACCCACTCTGCACAGGTCAACCAAAATAATTGAACAATACAAAAAAAAAAAAATCATTTAAAATTATAAATAAATTTAAAAAATAACACTTATCTCTCAGTTATATCTGTCGTGTAAACCTAATCAATATTCAATACAGATTATATAACGGGCCTGCACGGGCTTAATTTGAACCATTTAATGGTTCAGTATGCAGTATTTGGGAGATGAGATCAAGATTTGAATTTCGGCGGCAGTGTTGGGATTATGCCCGAAGTAGACAGATCCCTTGTGCGCACTGACATTTGACCATGTTTACTGAACCATTGAGTCACCATAATTTACATCTTTGCTTTGTCGAGCCGGAGTGTGGGGCTCTTGAGTTGGATATTCCATCTTTTGGGACAAGGAGATTATATAACGAGAATATATATGCTAAAAAAAAAATACAATTAATACATTTTTGTAATACAATTTAGGACAAGAAGAAAAGTGAGTTCATGGTGCCATCTATCTTGTTAGAATCTTTTTAAGATTTTAAGTAGGAATAAAGCTTCGGTTGACGACTAAAATCAAAATTTTTTAAATAATAAATAAAATAAAATAAAAAGAAGTGCAAAAGAAAACAAAATGCAGACATTTTGGGGAAGGAGGAAGAGCTGGACGACCCGTGACCTCTTGTAGTGTTATTGCGACAGGGTACTGAGAAAACGATAGGGAACCAATTTACCATTGCTTTCTTTTACTATCATTTTTTTAATATAAATTAATTTAATATTGTTGTCAAAAATCTGTTATGATTTTAACTCTGGGAATCTTATGTATTTGTAATGAGAAAGCCCGCATGTATTATTTGACCAGTTCAAATTAAGAATATCAACAGACAACTCTCACAATTAATTGAATTTGAAACATTGTAGTTACTAAGTTGACTGTTGATCAATTCACCTGAGAGTGTCCAACTAATTCAACTAGAGATTGTTTAATTAATTTGATTGGAGTTATCCCTTGTTATCTCCTAATAAATGATGAAAAAAAAATTCATGGTAACCAATGACGGAACAATATATATATATATATATATATATATATATATATATATATATATATATATATATTGTATGCTTTAGTATAATTGAATAATATATTATTTATATAAAAAAATTATCAAACGTTGGTAATTAGTAAATTTTTCTTACTTGGTGACGTTTGTAGGAAA